CTTGCCCCAGGATTGGATGATATTCTTGTATTTTCCACCCACAACCTTTCTTGCTAATACTCCCATTTTATATGTGGAGCGGATGCTGCAGTTTTGGCTACATAGGTACACTGATAGATCTTTACATTCGCTGGGGTTAGGGCAGTGGTTCCCAACCTGTGGTCCGTTGACCATCCGTGGTCCACAAGAATGAAAATATGGTCCACAGCCTCACAATTACTACAACGCTGCCTTGAAACCATGCAGCAACAAGAACGACTAGTCTCACAAAACCCTGTTATAGTGCCAAGGCAATTGGGATGTCAGAAGGGGAGGGGGCTGACTACCCATGAAAGATTATTACTACCACATCAGCTCTAGATTATTAATTATGGTTTTCTGTGGGTGAGCAGACTACTGGATGGCATATGTTCTGTATCATAAACTAAAGCTGATGTGGTCCATGCAATGCAGTTTTCTGAATAATCACCGCAAATAACCAACTGAATCTAAAGTTGACCAACAACTGATTTTTGATCCTTTTAGTATTAATGTTGGAGAGTGGTCCCTGGTCAATGTGGTTCCTGATCAAAAAAGGTTGGGAACCACTGGGTTAGGAGCATAGGAACCCCATAGAAATGAAGAACCACAAAGAAAAAAAGACAGAAATAATAAAGACTAGGAATAGTTTTCTATATCATGCAAGAAACAGGAGTTCAACATGTTTCAGCAAACTTTTTGTTCAAAACTAGCACTATGATTTTGACATCCGGTGGAGTGTCTGGGATCAAACTCCATCAGATTAAAAAAAGAGGTCACTCTATTGCATAGTGCTGTGTGTATTTCTCCAATCCACCCTTACCATGTTTCCAATGCTGAAGTTGCTAAACAAATGCAGTTAGACAGAGGATGAAGGACGGAAACTGGGGGTCCTAAAGAGTTTGAAAAAACTATCACTATCAGGGGCTTTGTTGACTCTGGCGTACCTGTACTGCTCCTATGTGCAAAACAGCATGCAGAAAGTCCGGGTCTTTCTCCTTTTATTTGGGTCACTGCCCAATAAAAGATGTTTGGCTGTCAGGGCAAAGGACAAGACAATAATTGCCTTTTATTAAATGTTTCAAGTGAACTGTGTGGGCAGTTGAGTAATGATGAGTGAGGAAACAGTCTCTCTTCCAAAGGCAATGGATTGGTTTGCATGGGTTGTGTGGGGTAGAAAGCTCTGTCTTCCAAAAAAATAAATAAAATGGAAATGGCTTGGAGAGTCTGGTAGTGCTTCTCTCTGAGGTTGCTATCTAAGGCCCCTTCAGCACAGCTGTATAAAATCCCAATTTTTTTTTTGTTGTGTCAGGAGCGACTTGAGAAACTGCAAGACGTTTCTGGTGTGAGAGAATTGGCTGTCTGCAGGGACATTGCCCAGGGGACGCCCGGATGTTTGATGTTTTAACATCCTTGCGGGAGGCTTCTCTCATGTCCCCGCATGGGGAGCTGGAGCTGATAGAGGAAGCTCATCCATGCTCTCCCCAGATTCGAACCTGTGACCTGTCCATCTTCAGTCCTGCCGATGCAGGGGTTTAACCCACTGCGCCACCGGGGGCTCCAATCCCACATTATCTGCTTTGAACTGAAATATATGACAGTGTGGATTCAGATAACCCAGTTCAAAGCAGATATTGTGAATTATCTGCCTTGATATTCTGGGTTATATGACTGTGTGGAAGGGGCCTTAGAATCACTGAATCATAGAGACCCCAAGGGCCATCTAGTCCAACCCCTTGCCAAGAAGCAGAAAAATTACATTCAAAGCACTCCTGACAGATAGCCATCCAGCCCCTGCTTAAAAGCCTCCAGAGAAGGAGACTCCACCATGCTCCGAAGTAGCAGATCCTACCTTCAGGAAGTTCTTCCTAATGTTTTGTTGGAATCTTTTTTTTTTAAATAGTAGTTTGAATCCATTGCTCCTTGCTTTGGTCTTTAGTGCAGTGCAAAACAAACAAGCTCCTCAATGCGACATCCTTTCAAATGTTTGGACATGGCCATCTTAATCTTTTCTTCTCCGAGCTAAACATGCCCAGCTCAGAGCCACTCCTCATAGGGCCTGACTTCCAGACCTTTAACCATTACTCGCATTTCTAGACACATTCCAGCTTGTCAACCTCCTTCTTGAAATTGTGGTGCCCAGAATGGGGACAGTATTCCGGGTGAGGTCTGACAAAGCAGAATAAGTAGGACTATGATTCCTTTTTAGACACTGTGCTCCTATTAATGCGGCCTAGAATGGCATTGACCTGTTTGGACATATGGCAGGGCTGGTCCCGACTTTTACAAGCACAATGACTGTTTAACAGAGCTGCGGATTATCCAGTATGCCTCCAGGCAAAAGCTATGGATTTATATTATGGGTTAATTTCAAATAAGACTTAATCCTCTCCTCCCTTCACAAACATAGTAAGGAGAAGAAGGCAATGGATCTGTCATATGCATCCAGAAGGAACAGAACCCTTTATGCAACTCAACCACAAAAGCTTATGAATTAATTCTTCCCTCTCAAGGTTCATCCTGTAGTGACTTGGTCATGGTGGTTGCTCTGTAACCTTATAACTATACTCCTAGTAGTGGGAGGACTGAAGGTGTGAGACTAAGAATGTGAGGTTAAGGCTGCATCTAGACTGACCGTTTAAACTAGTTTCAAGCTGTGGCAACCAAACAACAAACTCCCACAAAAGCGTGCAAAAGAGAGCCCTTAATGTGCACCAGTGCTCTGTGCTTTGTGTAATCACCTTCTGGGGTTTGAACTAGTTCCAGGATTTGCTATAATCATCTGCACAGTGAAACCATTTTTTCCCCAATACCATTCTGAAAATGGATTAAATGCTCAGTGTAGATGGGGCCATACACTAGAAACACTAGAGCAAATTACAGCTCTCTGAATAGCCCTTGAGTAACCAACTCACTTAGAGCCCTTCCAGACAGGCCCCATATCCCAGGATCTGATCCCAGGTTTTCTGTTTATCCCAGATTATCTGGCAGTGTGGACTCATATAATCCAGTTTAAAGCAGAAAACCTGGGATCAGATCCTGGGATATAGGGCCTGTCTGGAAGGGCCCTAAGCTTCATGGCTGAGTCAGGATTTGAACCCTTATTACATCTATACAGGCGGCCCCCAAATCAGGAAAAAGAGATGTTCCGTAGAGGCAGTTCCACACAGCCATATAACCCAGAATATCAAGTCAGAAAGGGTGCCCCCAGTGGCTCAGTGGGTTAAACTGCTGAGCTTGTTGACCGAAAGGTCACAGGTTCAAATCCACGGAGCGGCGTGAGCTTCTGCCAACCTAGCAGTTCGAAAACATGCAAATGTGAGATCAATAGGTACCGCTCCGGGGGGAAAGTAACGGTCGGCTCTTCGGCTTAGAAATGGAGATGAGCACCAACCCCCAGAGTCGGACACAACTGGACTTAATGTCAGGGGACAACATTTACCTTTACCTATCAAGGAAGAAAATCCCACAATATTTGCTTTGAACTGGATTATCTGAGTCCATACTCAGATGTGGGATTTTCTGCCTTGATATTCTGGGATATAGGGCTGTGTGGAAGGACCCTAGGTTTGTTCTTAACTTGAATTTGTATGTAAGTGGGAACAGGTTCATTTAAATGCCAAATAGGGAGAGAGTGCAGGCTCTTTAGACAACATAGGGAAGGGTTAACACTGCTGGGGAGTTTGTTTTGCTATCTGTGCTCCTCTTCAGATTTCACCTCACTTTCTGTCTCTGTGATAATTGGATTTTGAAATTTTTGGCTTGTTGTGGAAACAAGGCTTGGTCATAAAGCTTCAGTGGAGACACCTTTCCCCATGATAACTCTTTCAGGAGTGAACTTCCCTTCTGAAGGGGAGATTTCTCTCACTTCCTGTAGTCTCACCCCCTTCTTAACTATGTAAGTCAGGGACGGCCTGTACTGTTGCTGTTCTCAAGCTGAGAAGTTATATTTCACAGGAATGAACTGGCAAAACCCTCTTGCCTGAGCAGACCCAATAAAATTCATGAGTTTGAGTAAGTCCACAAGAGACTTGTGAAGGCACTGCCTGATGGAGATTGTTGGGCTGGGGCTGCATTCGAAACTAATGCAGTTTGACACCACTTAGAAGCAGGAAAATCACATTCAAAGCACCCCTGACAGATGGCCATCCAGCCTCTGCTTAAACACCTCCAAAGGAGCCTCCACCACACTCTGGGGCAGAGAGTTTCAAAGCTGAACTGCTCTCACAGTCATAGAATCATTGAATTGGAAGACACCTTGTGGGCCATCCAGTCCAACCTCCCGACAAGAAGGAAAAGCCTCCAAAGAAGGAGCCTCCACCACACTCCGAGGCAGAGAGTTCCATGGTTGAACAGCTTTCACAGGAAGATCCTCCTAATGTCCTTTCCTACAGTTTGAAGCCATTGTTCTGCATCTTAGTCTCCAGGGCAGCAGAAAACAAGCCTGCTCCCTCCTCCCTATGACACCCCCTCACATATTATACATCATGTCTCCTCTCAGCCTTCTCTTCTGAAGGCTAAACAGGCCCAGCTCTTTAAGCCGCTCCTCATAGGGCTTGTTTTCCAGACCCTTGATCATTTGAGTCTCCAGGGCAGCAGAGAACAAGTCTGCTCCCTCCTCCCTATGACTTGCCTTCACATATTTTTACATGGCCATCATGTGTAAATATGCGATGGCCAATGTCTCAGCCTTCTCTTCTTCAGGCACTTGAAATGCTATGGGTCAATGCTATGGCACCCTGGGAGCTGCAGTTTGTTGAGGCACCAGCACTGTTCAAAGACCTTGGAAAACTACAACTCCTAGGGTTCTATAGCTTTGAACCCTGGCAGTTCAAGTAATTGCATTCATTCTGCAGGTTAGATGCAGCCACAGCAGCTTTGTTTGTCTCTCTCTCTCTCTCTCTCTCTTTCGCAGGCCTCAAGCTCTGGGCTAATAATCCTCATAGGGAGGAGTCCAAACAAAGCCAACTCTGCCCGCTCCTCCCTCCACTCCACTCCGGTTGGAGGCGCAATGCTGGTTCGCAAAGGCACGAAGGCGGTTCCCACGAGTGGGAGGCACCCCGGAGCCTCCTTTCCCCTCCCTTTTGGGGACTCAAAGGAGCGCCGCTTTCCCTCGCTTCGTTTGCGGAGACTTTTGAGCCGCGATGAGGACGCTCCTGGTGCTGGCGATGGTGGGCCTCCTGGCTGCTCTGATTGGGGAACGCTACATGGCCCTCCGGTGAGTCTCCTCCAAAGGAAGGCGCGTCTGCACTTGAGAGTTAGCGCGCTATCACACCGCTTTAACTGCCATGGCGCAATGGAACCCCCAGTGCAAGCCCCAGGATTCCATAGCACAGAGCCATTGCAGTTAAAGCAATGTTATATACTGCATTCACTCTATAGCAGGTATGAGCAAACTTGGGCTCTCCAGGTGTTTTGGATTCCAACTCCCACCATTCCTAACAGCCTCAGGCCGCTTCTTTTTCCCCTTCAGCCGTTCTTCATGTTGTGGTGACCCCCAACCATTATTTTTGTTGCTACTTCATAACTGTAATTTTGCTACTGTTCTGAATCGTAATGTGAATATCTGATRTGCAGGATGTATTTTCATTCAYTGGACCCAATTTGGCACAAATACCCGAWACGTCCACATTGAAATACTAATGGGGTTGGATTGATKTTGYCATTTGGGAGTTGTAGTTGCTGGAGTTTATAGCTSACCTACAATTAAAGAGCATTCGGAACTCCACCAAGGATGAAATTGAGCCAGACTTGGCACACAGAACTCCCATGRCCAACAGAAAATAYTGGWAGGGTTTGGTAGGCATTGACATTGAGTTTGGGAGTTGTAGTTCACCTACATCCAGAGACTCARATAATGATGGATTGGACCAAACTTGGTACGAATACTTGATATTCCCCAATGTGAACACTGGTGAAGTTTGGGGGAAATAGACTTTGATATTTGGRAGTTGTAGTTGCTGAGATGTATAGTTCACTTACAATCAAAGAGCTTTCTGAACTCCACCAATGAAAGAATKAGGCCAAACTTCCCACACAGAGACCCCYATGCTTTGAAGGGACTGATTGGCACGARTCTCCCTCCAGCCTTGCACGCTCTCCCTCRCCTTTACATGTACYGAGCACRTCTGCTCTCCCCTCCCCACTTGGTGTCTCAGAAACAGCTCTCCCCTTGGCTGAGAGGGCAGCCAATCACAGTGGAGAAGGGCTTTTGGTGGGAGGATTCACAATCTTTCCAATAAGGAACAGAAGGACAGGCGGAGAGATCTTCAGCCTTCTCTGCTAAAGGGGTTCCAAAGACCATCAGAAATATATGTTTTCTGATGGTCTTTGGTGATCCCTCTGAAACCCCCTTGCAACCCCCAGGTTGCGAGTATAGATGCACCCTAGAATTCTCCTGCTTTTCAATGGGGTTAGTCCACACTGCAGCGAGGACTGTGTGTACACTTCAAGGTGGGATTAAGGGTGGATCTATTCTACACTGTAGAATGGATGCAGTTTTGCACCATTTGTACTACTGCTTCTATATTAGTTCTACAGACTAGATGCACCCCAAGATATCTCACGATATATATGCAAATCTGGGGGACACTAATCAGAAAGACAGAACATTTCTGGAATGCTACCTAACGTAAAACCTGCAGCGACCTGTTGGTTAGCAATCTGGCCCAATGTTCATCTGTCCCAGTTGGAAACATTACTCAGTACATTTTGGAAGTCTAGTTACGTTGTTGCATAAATATTAGACAAGTAACTGCATCATTTGTGCTGCTGATGGGTAAGTAAATGCAACAACTAACTTCCAAGCCAGTATTCTCAGGAAACCAAACTGAAGCTTTAGAAAATCCTTCTTATTTCAAGGCAGGTTGAATATAAAGGAGCCGCTGGAGCGTGCAAGGAATCAGTTAATGTGTGTGTCAACTGCAAAATAAGATGCATGAAGCTGATTGGTCAGGTAATGCTTGGAGAGATGGCTAAGTCTGGGACTTTTGAATACAGTTACATTTTTGTTCAGGCTTGAGCTATGCAAGTGCAGAGAGAGAGAGAGAGTGTTAGAAGAAAGAAGCAGAGCTTGATGCGTACTCTTGCTTCAGGAGCTGCTGAAGGAGTCTATCCACATGGACGGAAAAATACTATTTTAAACCTCTTGTAAAAGGACATTATGTGAATTGAGGCAACTGATCACATTGTACATATGTTCTTCTGAACTGCGAAGAGTAAACTAATTGTTCTTTACTATTCATCTGTGTGGCATATTTTCTTTATCTGGCAAGGCAGTGTGGGCAGATCAAACATGAACTACATGTGGTTTATTTTACATTACACCACAGGGATTAGGACACAGAGTGAGAAGGGTTCAAATCCCAGCTCAGCCATGGAAACTCACTGTGCAACATTGGGAAAAGCTGCAAACTACCATCAACATATTGCAGTTTGACCATACTTTGATCGATTTGGGTCAATGCTATGGAATGCTGGGAGTTGTTTGGTGAGGCACCAGCACTCTTTAGCTGAAAAAGATGAAAGCCTTGGTAAAACTATAACTCCCACCATTCCATTTCATTTACTGTCAAACTGCATTTATTCAACACTGTAGAGTAGATGGACTCATAGTCACACTCTCTCAGCTTCAAAGGAAGGCAATGGCAAACTTCTCTGAATAAATCTCTCCAAGAAAACCCTTTCATAGTTTTGCCTTAGGGCCACCATAAATTGGCATTGATTTTAAGGYRCACAACATACAAAAATCCTTAATTTTTTTCATGTSAGGAGCAACTTGAGAAACTGCAAGTCACTTCTGGTSTGAGAGAATTGGCCGTCTGCAAGGATGTTGCCCAGGGGACAYCTGGATGTTTTACCATCCTGTGGGAGGCKTCTCTCATGTCCCCGCATGGGAAGCTGGAGCTGACAGATGGGAGCTCACTCTTGGATTTGAACTGCCGATCTTTTGATCRGCAGTCCTGCCAGCAYAAGGGTTTAACCCATTACGCCACCAGGTTTTGTTAAGATYCATTTTGTATTCTTTGATTTCTTRCACACTGGCTGGTGAGTRGGAYCAACTTAACGTATTACCAAGTAGGACTAACATCATAGTAAAGAGTTMRTCATCAGGTTTTTTGTAGCATATTAAATATGTGAGCAGAACATATTAAATAATTATACATCAGATTAAATAATTMGCATATTAAACAATTACCRAGTTTTGCTGTAGCATATTAAATATGCGTAGGAGTGATTTARCATATTAARTAATTATACATCAGGTTTTGTTGCAACATTTGGGTAGTCATATACTTATGACWAAGTATAAGTCGTTTTGTTACAGTAAACACTGGTGTGTGATTATTTAATACTATATTAAATCAGGCAGAAATACTGTGAGAAGTACATTGCAAAGGAATGCATAGTAGTCTCTTTATTTCCCCTTTTATCTTATTTGAACTTTGGCAAGAGTGCTCTGTAATATAAGCTTATGTTGCAATTTTGCTGATAAAGTGGAAGTAGATCGTGACTTCTTTTACAATAACTGAAGTTAATAGATAATCTATCTGCTGGATAAGATATCTCGGGACAATAGAGAAGGAATAACCATGGCTTGATCTGTTTGCCCATCATCATCATTGCTTTATTATCGTCCCATTCCTCTTGTTGTTGTTGTGTTCCTTCCTTTGTTGCCTTCAAAAATACTACTATATGTTGGAAAGAAATGCCAAAAGATAAGCTGATTCTGCAAAGTACCAGGAATAAGAGAACTTATAGTTTAGTGCATTTCACACTAAGATGGCTTTTCTTCAGGGGAAAGCAAATACACACACACACACGGGTTGGAACTTTAATAATGGAAACTATTTATTTACATATAATACAAAAGAGATACATGCCACCAATTTTTACAGTCCTTCATTATAGCCGCCAGCATTGTGTACAACCAGTTTCCAAAGATGTGAAAGTCGTAGGATATCTGTTGCAGTGCCTGTTCTGTTGATAGTTTGAATGGAGCGGACTACTGCTGTTAGAATTCTGAAGCGAATGCCACAAAGTGGTTCCTTCATCTTAGGAATTAAGTCAAAGTCACAAGGGCTTAAGTCTGGGGAGTATGGTGGATGGTACAGCACTTCCCAGCCCCATCTGAGATGGTGTTCCTAAAATGAGCAGTAATACTGTGCATTGATGGTCTGATGTAGGGGAACGGTATCCGTTAGGATGACACCATCACAGTCGTACACAAGAATCACCATAACTTTCACATTGCTGGGGTTCTGACAAAATTTCGAACTTTGTGGTAACCCGTAATGACACCATTCGTTCGATTGGCATTTCAGTTCCGGCTGGTACAATCTGGTCCAAGTCTCATCCAGCGTAATGATGTGGCGTAAGAAAGCCTCTCCTCGTTACGAGCAGCGTTGTATCGTAGCCATTGGTGGAACTCATTGTGAAGCAAATTTTCTCATGCCCAGGCATTCCTTCAGAATGTGGAGCACAGTTGTATGCGCAAATCCTGTATTTCGGGCCAGCTCACAAATTGTATGGTGTCGATCACTGTCAACAAGTATGGCAACAGCATTCACTACCACTTCGCTGACACTAGGACGACCTGGCCGATGCATGTCTGCCACGTTTTGGCGTCCTCCGTTGAAGGCTTTTACCCACCTTGCCACTGTTCTGTAAGGCAATGCAGATTCCCCGCAAACCTCTTTAAGACCTTGATCACACTGTTGTGCTGTATGACCTCTGGCACATTCAATCTTTATCCAACTCTGTTGTTCTTGTTTCAAAAACATAGTGACAACACTTACTTTAGACTGTTAGCTAATACGAGGCCCAATTTTTCGCGTCACTCCGCATACGCGTGACATGGGAAGGGTGAGTCTTTTTGCTCAGTTTTTTTTTTTTGGTCGTGTCAGGAGCAACCGCTCCTGTTGTGAGAGAATTGGCCATCTGCAAGGACGTTGCCCAGGGGACGCCCGGATGATTTCTGATGTTTTATCATCCTTGTGGGAGCCTTCTCCCATGTGCCCGCATGAGGAGCTGGAGCCAATAGAGGGAGCTCATCCGCCTCTCCCGGGATTCGAACCTGCGACCTGTCGGTCTTCAGCCCTGTCAGCACAGGCTTTAACCCACTGCGCCACCGGGGGCTCCTTTTTGCTCAGTGGTGAGGTAGGTATGTAACTAACGTGGTATACGCAACATTCTTTGGTTTTGTTGTGTGGCATCTTT